ATGTAGTGATCCGAAAGGGTATATGCACCCCAGTGTTCATAGCAGCATTGTCCACAATAGCCAATCGTGGAAGGAGCCCAGATGTCTATCGACAGATGAATGGATAAAGAAGATGTGGTCCATATTACTCAGCCATCAGAAAGGATGAATACCTACCATTTACATTGACATGGGTGGAACTGGAGGGGATTATCTTGAGTGAAATAAGTCAGAGAAAGACAATTATCATATGGTTTCACTCATATGTGGAATAGAAGAAACAGTACAGATGATCATAGGGAAAGGGAGGAAAAATTGAATGTGAAGAAGTCAGAGAGGGAGACAAACCATGAGAGACTGTTAATTCTAGGGAACAAACTGAGGGTTGTTAGAGGGGTGAGGGGTGGAGGGATGGGATAACTGGGTGATGGGCATTGAGGGCACGTGATGTGATGAGCACTGGGTGTTATATGCAACTGATGAATCACTGACCTGTACCTGTGAAACTAATGATGAGTACATGGTGAGTATATGGTGGCTAATTGAATCTAAAAACAACAACAACAACAACAAATAAAAACAAAACACTGCTATCTTGCCAGCCGGATTTTGAGCCGGTGAGATATTTTATACATGTAAGCTAACATTCAAAACCTCTTTGGCTAGTTTTTTCCTATGCTTGGTTCAGTTCCAGTAAACTACCCTCCACATCATCTCCGGGAGTCCTATTAAAACGCACCTTCCTCAGACCTAGAGCATCTGAGTCTGAAGCAGGGTCTGGAAGTTTGCATTTTATTTTTATTTATTTATTTATTTATTTATTTATTTATTTAAAAGATTTTTATTTATTTGACAGAGTGAGAGAGCACAAGCAGGGGGAGCAGCAGAGGGAGAGGGAGAAGCAGGCTCCCCGCTAGCGGGCGGCCTGATGTGGGGCTTGATCCCAGGACTCTGGGGTCATGACCTGAGCTGAAGGCAGACGCTTAACCATCTGAGCCACCCAGGGGCCCCATGGAGTCTGCATTTTATCGTCACCCTCCCCAGATGATTCTTCTATGTGCTAGGGTTTGTAAAGGTATCTAAGATCTAATGGGCAGGGTGTGGCATGGTTTAAAGGAACTCCTGTTGAGGTGACCTCTTATAGATAGGACACCAGGTGCGGAAAACTGCCCCTTAAGCCTTTCTGTAATTTGTGGAAAAGTCAGGTTGGTTAATAAGCATTTCGCAGAGACTTGCAAAAATCAAACAAGGGAAAATGCAAATGTGAAAGTAATTATATTTCAAGCCAGTGTGGGTGGTTTTAAAATCTTAAAAGGAGGTATGGCCTGCATGAGACAATTTTGGGAGAAGCTGCTTCAGCAGATCAGGGGCTGAGAGCAATGTTTCCTGAACATTAAAGAGGGTGGTCGTAGAGTGGGAACTGTCTGTGGGCAGAGGCTTTTAATCCTCCCAGATCTGTTTTGTGGCCAAAGCTGATGCTCGATTAAATGGGTCCTTGGTGATCAGCAACAGAACTGGGCCAGCTGTCTTAGGCAAAATGCGAATTTGGGGGAAGGCTTTTGAGGAGGGGGCTGGGGGATCGCCTCTCCAGAGGCTTTGCTGCATGAACCCACACAGGGTTTGGGCTTTCAAGCTGCCGTCATGATGGATGTGATTTCTGACTGACTACCTTTCTGTTGTCATTTGCCCGCAGAGAGGGCAAATCTGGCTCCTTCCCCTTTGTGGGAGGTGCCAGTGGCTGCCTCATCCGGGAAATTCTGCAGGAGGGATGTGGGGCCTGAATAGGAATGGGACAGATGCTAAACAGACCCAGCCAATCCAAACCCAAACCAGAAGCAAAAACAAGAGAAAGAAAGGAAAAGGCCACCTGCAATGCCTCTAGAGTTAGATTATTTAGGGTCAAATCCTGGATCCGTCACTTGCTCTTTGATCTTCTGTGCCTCAGCTTACTCATCTGTAAAATGGGGATGTATTTGGTCCATATCCCTTATAAGGATTAAGCATTTGGCCAAGTGCCGGGCCCGATGTCAGGGCTTGCTTGTGCTTGCGGTCCTGTGAGCGTCTCTCTCTGCACACACACATTTGATCCCATTTCTGTTGTTTTCCTTCAGACTGCCTGTTTCCTATCACATCTTGGTATTGCTGCCCACAGTTTTGCCTGTCTCTTTTTTCCTTGGGAATTTGGCCCCACAGCTGATGAAGGGACATGACAGTCTGGTTTTGTAGATGGGCCTCTGCAGATGGAAGGAGCCAGACGGATGGCCCCCGGGGTTTCCGGTGCCCAGTCTCGCTCCCGGATCACCGATCACTTTCTCTCCTCTGGGGCCTTATCTTTCCATCGCACGCTCGAGCCCGTCACAATTTGCTGTGGCCTTTGACTTTTAAGGAGGGTACTGAGCAAGGCTAACTTGCTTCTCTAAGTACCTCTTGCCTTTCTTCCCTTCCCACCTCTTAATGGAGGTGTGGGGCTCCTTCCGACTCTCTTCCCAAAGACTCTGCCTTTCAGAGGGCAGGTAGAACTTTGTGGAAGGGAACAGTATCCATTGAGGGGATGACGCAGTCTCAGGATATGGCACATGGCAGAATTATATTAAGGTTCCAAAGTGATGCTTACAAATTTATATGCTTTGTGAATATGGAACATCTTTGTCCTCTTAGCAGCGAAATGATTCATTGTAGTTTGGTTTTATTTCCTATTAAGGTCACTTGCCCTTCGTTAATCTGGCCTCTCTGGCAGTATGGTCCATGCATGAGACTCTTTTTTTCTTCTCGGAGCATTTTGTGTTGTGTGGTTATTGTGGTGATAGTGAGGTTGTGATTGTAAATTAGTTGATTCATTCGCAAGGGCCAAGAATACATGAAAGTATCCGTGGTCAGAGTCTCTCTCCCACTCCTGCCCCCATCCCTCAGTGTCTCAGCTCCTTACCAGCAGACGCCCATTGTATTAGAATTTTGCACTTTCTTCCAGATTTGTCTTATGCACATATAAATATATGTTATTTCCCCCTTTTTAAACAGATGGTAGCATACTATATATACGCAGTGTTCCATACTCTGCCTTTCTTTGACTCAACGTATACATATACATCCTTAGATATAAATATACAAAGAGGTTTCTCGTCCTTTTTTATAGTGGCAGAATATCCTGTCATACAGTGTACCATGATTTCTTTAAGTACTTCCCCATAGATGGAGATTGAGGCTTCCTGATTGATTTTGAGATGAAGGTTCTGGATAAGGATGAATGAATAGAATCCATATTGACGGATGCGGCTGAAATGACGTCCGAGGTTGAGCATGGTCTTGTGTTGTTCACAGAGGGTGTCCTCTAAAATGGTAAGACTCTTGCAGTAGTCCACTAGGCTTTGCATAGGTAATTTTGGAAATCATAGAATAATCAAGGAGAATCACATACATTTTTCAATTAGCAATAATCACGCCTTGGATAAACTGCATTGGCTATGATCATTTTGTAAGCTAGTGGGTTCCTGGTCGTGGAAAATAATGGGTTATTTTTTAAAAAGATTATATTCTGAGTCCAGACAGATGTATCTAGATGCATAAAGTTGATAAAGGGACATAAGGAATCAGTACCCACCATTCAGAATAAGTTTAGAAAAGTTTCACGGTCAGGAAAATGTTCCTGGGAGATAAATAACCCACTTTTCCATCTGTTCTTATTTAGTAGATGCCTTAATGGGTTAGATTTGAAAGTGCAAGGAAGGCAGGGTTATAACTTTCTTGAGGACATAGTCGCTGACACGTTGTAGCTCATAAATATTTGTTTTGAATGGAGAGCATGATCAAAGAATTTTAAAGTATGGTAAAGACAGCCGTATATATCTATTACTGTATACGTTGTTATGGAAGTGTATATATTAAAGCATTAATACCAAGTGATGTTTGAACCAGCAGAATATTGGAAGATGAAAGTCATGATTCAGGAAGGAGCAGACTATCAAGTTCACCTTATGCTTCCTTTCGAAGTACTACTTTGACCTTGAAAATCTTAATTGTACCTAAATGTAAGTCTGGAGATAGAAATGTATGTTGTAGATGAATTCAGCCCGTTAGCAAAATTGTTAAGTAGCTAAGAAACACATGCTATTTTTGTGAGTCCAAAGATGAGGAAACAGCTTAAGGACCCACTGGAGAGCCGTGTGCCCTCCGAGACAGGGGCAGTCACTTCCACATTGGAAGCCACCCGGAGAGTTTCTTCACTTCTTGTCTGTTTTGGATGTCATCTTGTGTATTTGATGGTCTCTTTGGCAAGTAGGTTAAGTATCACTTGAGTCATAATAGGAGACAGAAATGATATCCATTCACTCAACTGTGTTGAGAAATAATCCCCATAAACCTGCTTTCATTCTTTTAGCTTATATATCCTTCAAATTATGGGAGAATTAAGGAGAAAGAAAGTTAGGATGATAGTCATGATGATGGCTTTTGTGTGACATGATGAAAGTCTGCAGGCCACAAACAGAGGTCAAAATAAGGAACTGCAGTCAAACCGATGAGTGAGCAAGTTCCCTAGAGGAATTTTGTCTTCTGTGTGTCCTGCTCAGAACCCGAGTTGCCGTGCCCAACTAGCTCCTTTTCACAGTGATGGTAGCTTTTCTTAGTTGAAGGTTGACCTTTGCTTGGTGTCGGATGAAGTGTGTCTTGGTGGCTTACACACGCGTGCTGTGGTCCCCACCCCAGCTCGGGCCCGTTTCCTTCGTTTTAAAGGTACTTTTAGGAAAGGGGCGTACTTGTTCTCTCTGCCAGTTTTTCTGCACCCCCCTGTGCCCCCCGCCCATGCGCAGTAGAAAGTAGCTTGGATTCTCTGGATCTCCACTTTATTTGCACCCCTCGTGCTCCGGCTGTTTGGTATTTCAGGTGCTGGTATCTGTCATCAGACTCTGCTCGGTTGACTGGCCCGGGGAGTGTGGTCCTCATCTCGGGGATGCTTGTGCTTTGCTCGCTTCTTCCGGGTCTCTGTGGTAAAGTCTGTACCTGTTGTCTTGACTCTTCCGATGCAGGTCTGCAGACTCCTACTCCAGAGTTCATTGTCGACGTGGAGTCCATGGACATCTTCCCCGTGGGCTGGTGCGAAGCCAACTCTTACCCTCTGACCACACCACACAAAACAGTCTGTGAGTATCGTCCAGTTGGGAGCCCTGTGGACAACATGCGGGGCTTGCGGGGGTAAATAGACAGTTCTGTGAAGAGACTGTAGCCAGGTTGTAAAAAACAGACCTTGTGTTAGATTTACCACGGAGCACCAATATTTTTATCTTGTGGATGTTTTCAGTATCTTCGAGAGATGGATATTTGGAAGCACCTCACAGGTTGACAAGCTAAGTCATAATGATAAGGCAGGTGAGCATCACAGAGTGGCAGAGATAAGATATAAATATACTAAGATCTATAAAGATTGTATAAAATAATATATAAATATATATAAAATAAAATAGGTCTTCACTCCCAATTTATAGTTCATTATTTTGATTAGAGAAAATTTAAGCTAAATACTGTGTGGGTTTTTTTGTTGGTTTTTGTTGTTTTTGTTGTTGTTTTTGAGAGGGGGAGAGAGAGTGCATGAGTGGGAATCCTCCTACACTCTTGGTGGGAATGCAAGCTGGTGCAGCCACTCTGGAAACAGTATGGAGGTTCCTCAAAAAGTTAAAGATAGAGCTACCCTATGACCCAGCAATTGCACTACTAGGTATTTATCCAAAGGATACAAACACAGTGGTCCGAAGGGGCACCTGCACCCCAATGTTTATTGCATCAATGTTCACAATAGCCAAACTATGGAAAGAGCCCAGATGTCCATTGACAGATGAATGGATAAAGACGATGCAGTTCATATATACAATGAGATATTACTCAGCCATCAAAAAGAATGAAATCTTGTCATTTGCAATGACATGGATGGAACTAGAGGGTATTATGGTGAGCGAAATAAGTCAGAGAAAGACAAATACCATTTGATTTCATTTATATATGGACTTTAAGAAACAAAACAGATGAACATAGGGGAAGGGAGGGAAAAATAAAATAAGATGAAAACAGAGAGGGAGACAAATCAAAAGAGACTTTTAACTACAGGAAACAAACTGAGGGTTGCTGGAGGGGAGGTGGGTGGAAGGAATGGGATAACTGGGTGATGGACATTAAGGAGGGGATGTGATGTGATGAGCACTGGGTGTTATATACAATTGATGAATCACTAAATTCTACCCCTGAAATTAGTAATACAGTATGTGTTAATTAAATTGAATTTAAATAAAAAATTAAAAAATTGAAAATAAAGTTACGAGTCCTTAAAAATAAGGGGTTTTGATTTTTTTGTGAAGTAGATATTTCTGGTATTTTCTTTTTGTAATTTGTATGCTAGCTTTACTTTCTAGCATCCTACTATAGGGTTCATTTATGTAGATGCTCAGGAAATTACTAGAAAAGGGAGTTCCGTCCTATAGTTGGCTTCCTGTCCCCTGATGTCAGCAGTTTGAAGGACAGTTCTATTCCACATCCATTAAGAGGAGGATGGTGCATTGTCTGTGTGAAACAAAGTAGGTCGCCCAGATTATACACAGGTGGATTTTAAGGGATTCTTCTCTCCCATACACCATACTGCTCAATGAATCTGATCCAATGAGAGTAATATATTGTCCTCATATTAACATATTTCTAAAATTTTGAGCATAGAATAATTTTTTTCAATCTCAAGGGCATTCTGTTTTTGTCCTCTCACAGTGCCACAGATTCTTGGTTCAGTTGGCCTGAGAGCCAGGTCAGGTGCTCCCGGGGTTTAGTGGTGGGTAGGGCTGGTCCCCTCGGTCTTAGTTGTGCCTCAGACAGAAACTCCTGTCTCGTGTCCTCTTTCTTTCTTATTAAAAGCATATTTTAGAATAAAGTAGCTAGTGTTAAAAATAGAGCAACCCTACAACCCAGCAATTGCACTACTAGGTATTTATCCAAAGGATATAAACATAGTGATCCATTTAATCTCATTAAATGCAGTAAATTCTATTTAGACTTCATTTCTGATGAGTCAAAGTCTCTTTTAGATTTATTTATTTATTTTAGAGAGAGAGATTGAGAAGGGGGGAGAAAGTGAAGGGGAGGGGCAGAGGGAGAGAGAGGGACACGCAGACTCCCCGCTGAGCGCAGAGCCAGACATGGGGCTTGATCTCAAGACCTTGAGATCACGACCTGAGCCAAAACCAAGAGTCAGATGCTCAACCAACTGCACCACCCAGGCGCCCTGAGTCAGAGTTTATTTTAATGCTGGAAGAAAATAAGATAAAGTTGTGGCATGAGTGAAATAACTTTCCAGTGTTTAAATTGTTTCTTTAAAACTGACACAGTTTTCCCTGAAGACATTTTTTTTTTAAAGATTTTATATTTTAGAGAGAGAGAATGAGAGAGAAAGAGAGGGAGCATGAGAAGGGGGAGGGTCAGAGGGCGAAGCAGACTCCCCGCTGAGCAGGGAGCCCGATGCAGGACTCATTCCTGGGACTCCAGGATCATGACCTAAGCCGAAGGCAGTCGCTTAACCAACTGAGCCACCCAGGCGCCCCCATGAAGACATTTTAAAAAAAATGCTTTTGCCCAACTCGTGAATGAAACTGACTGTCCTTTTGCCCTTTCTTGCCTGTTTTACAGCACAAAAGAAGAGAAAGATTGCAGTTGTGCAGCCAGAAAAACAGTAAGTTTTTGTGTTTTGTTTTTTTTCCCCCAAAACTTAGATGGTATATAGAACTGTCTTTATAGAGAATAAGGAAGTGTGGCCGTTTTTATCAGTGAGTGGGTTCACAGAGATGGTAGCCAGAAATACCTGTTGTTGTTTATGGTGCACCCGTTACATGGAAGACACGGGCTCGCCTCTTCTAGGGATCTCTTCTCCGGATTGCAGTTTCTCTCTTCCGTTCCAGCTGGAGGGCATCCTGGCCTCACACCTTGATAGTGAAAGCCCTCTTTGAGGCCCCCCTGGCCACGCGTCGCTGTCCCTGCCCACACTCAGCATGCTGGCGTCATGGGTCGTGGCCGGCCTGGCAGGCAGACTGCCGTCCGAGGCCATCTCTGCCAGCCCCCAGCAAGGTGTCCTTGAGGAAGCTGCTTAATGCTCTGCATCTCGACGCCCTTCTTTGTGAAACACCTGTTTCTCAGGGGGTTCATGAAGATTAAATTAGATTTCCTGTGGAAAAAAAAATTGTGTGGGTTGTACAGGGTTAAGTCAATGTAAGTTCTCCCCCATTTCAGTTGTAATTTTAGGGAGAAGGAGGGTATCAGGCAGTGTGCATACGTGCAGTATGTTTTTGAAAAATTCTCACCATTAGTAGCATTTTTATATATTGAAGATTAGCTAAGGTACACTAAAATACACAGCCTTTGCCAGGTGGTTCTGTTTTCTAATGAAAATACACTGGTGGAAATGAATTTGATCTTTTCGGATACCCGGTTTAAACTTAAAATGAAATTGAATAATGACTGCATGGCTATTCAAATGTGAATAACAGTTTTGTGGGCATTTTCCATACATGCATGTCTAAACACAGTGTAGCAGGTTAATAATCTGACTCCAGTTTGGTCTGGATAACGTTGAAATCGAGAGCAAAGAATTAAATGGTCCCATCATTGAATCCAAATCCGATTTTGTAGCTCCTCAATTTATGGCCCGTGGATCCGTGGTCCCCATCCTGCACTTGCACCAGTCACCCAGACGGCTCGATAAAACACACACACTGCTGGGTCCCCATCTCCAAATTCCCTGGCTCAGGATGTCTTTAGTGGGGCCTGAGCATCTGTGCATTTAACAAGTTTCTAGGTGGTGCCGGTCCTCTAGTGTGGGGACCCCACTTTGAGAGCCAGTGTGAAGATGACCCCACTGAGATTTTGTGATGGTTTGCTCTGCACTTGTGTCATTTTTCAATGGTGTGATTTCCACACCGCCCTCCTGGGTACCCTGTAAAAACCAACGCACCTCTTTTCCCCCATGGCTACATTTTTAATGTTTATTCAGCAACTTTTTTACCGAACTGTAACACAAAGCTCTGCCCTAGGCTGGGCCTACTTCTCGTTCTAGGACCCATCCGTTCATAGGCTTTCTTTGAAGGTCTTTTTAGTGTGGCCATGACCCACACAAGCAGTTCTCAGACACTAGCTTGTAGAAAGTACTAGTTTCTTCTATTGAAGAGAGGTCTGACTTCCGTTAAAATCCATGCGAGTTGATGTTTCTTTGTGTCTAAAATATAATGAAGGGCATTATGACAATTCTATAGTAAGAGACAAGCCAGGAGCCTCCTGGAAGAACATCGCTGATTAGGGATGACAACCTGAGGGGCAGACATGCCATTGGCTTCTTAGGGTTATTGCAAGAATTTGGGGACGACCTCTTTGAAACGGATACGTTTGTACTGATGTTGCTGCTTGACATATATGCATCCTCTCTTTTACTGTGTGCTTGGATTTCTGTGATAATCGCTTTAAGTTGTGGAAAGACTTCGGAATTAGTTTAATTAATTTAATTAGTTACTTCATTAGTTGAGTTCCTTCTCAAGTGTGCGACCCGTGATAGTTGTATTTTCTTGATCAACAGATTGCCATCCACAGTGCCTGTTGAGAAAATACCTCACGACCTTTGTTTATTCTCTCACCTGGACACCTCAGGTAAATGAGCCCACTTACGGCTGGCTGTCCCGTCCCAATTTGGGAGTGGAGACATGCGTGTGTTTTTAGGTCTAATATAAGAATATTTCAACTTTAAGTTCATTCTCCTTGTCTCTGTTGCTACTTATTAACACATACCTACTTTAAAAAAAAATTTCTAAACCAGATTCTCTGCCTCTTCTGTCTCTTGGTCAGTAGCTCTAGACGCTTCTCTCAGTCTGCAGGAGAAGAGTCCATGTGTTCCTTGGAAATTTGGGCCCAGTTAGGGTTGTATGTTGTGGATGGTCATGTGCAAGGAGAAAGAATTGAAAATATCATTATTAGGCACTCATTTTTTTTTGACATTTTATGGCATCCCACTTGCATTTTTCATTACTGGTTAATATTTAAGTCCCCATGGGCTTTTGAATTGTTCCTTAAAAACCCTCTGTGTTTGAAAGCTGAGAGTGAATAATATATGTCTTTTAATGTGTAAAGTTCTATATCTTACATTAAAACCTTTGAAAACACAAATGTGAATTCCCCATTGACAACAAATCTGATTATAGATGTGTTTGTACATTAAATAATATATTTGATTACGAATTCTGTTTTCTAGCCAAAGGGAAACCTGCTCTGAATTCTTCCAGGATTCTAAGCTATATGCCATGGAAGAATCCTAGCAGTCAAAGTTATAGTAAGGAGAGCATTTTTATGAGTAGACTTACTAAAATTGTTTTTTTTTCTAAAGTTCTGGGTAGGGTAATCCTACCAAAAAATTTCCATGTATATGCAGCTGTGGACATAATTCTTTTGCCTAATTTTGTTGTATAGAATTCAAACTTCAGAATGGTTTTAAAAGAACCATGTCAGCTCTTCTTTCAGAGTCTATAATTGTTATATTACTCCTTTTGTCTTACCCTCACAAAAATAACATTTCTCCCTCGTTCCCTATTGGTTCTTAGTTGAAGTCCTATGAGGACAGTCCTGTTAACAGAGACACCACTGTTAGCGGAGCTTAGCTTGGGGTATTGTGGGGGAGGGCGAGTCTTGGCTGACAGCAGAACCCTGTTACAGACATCAGGAAGCTTTAGGGTAATACCTTACCATTTATTCTTCCACGTTTCCCCATGGCCCTTTGAGACACAACTAGCCCAGCAACCTGCTACGTTGAAAGCACAATGAAGGAAATGCAGATTCAGTCCACGGGAAGTACATTGCACGTCCATGAGATTGGCAAAATGAAGACGCCCTGCCATGTCTAGTGTTGGCTTGGATGTGGAACAGTGGCCACACCTCCTATAGGAGTGTAGGTTGAGATTGTCCGCGTGGAGATCAGTTTGATCACGTGTGGGACAACTGAAGACATGCAGACCCCGTGGCCGAGCAGGTCCCCTCCTTGTGATATACTTGGAAAGCTCTCTTGCCCATAAGCAGAAGCCGATGTTTACAGCTGTCCTCAGCAGAGCACTGTCGGTAATTCCCGAGCAAGTGGAAATGACTGAGTGTCCATCAGCAGGAGAATGGGCTGCTGCTTGTGCTGTATTCATGTAATGGTGTCACGCACAGAAGTGACAGGTGGATGAACGTTCTGCATATACGTGTACCGACTTGGGTGGATCTTAGAAACTGCAGGTCGAACAAACAAAATGTTGCGGAAAACCATTTATGGAATATTTTTAAAATATCCGAAATACCATGCATTACTTGTTGACACACATCTACCTGTGTGTGTGTGTGGTCAAGTTTATAGGCCTGCGTCGGAATGATAAACACCAGGTTCAGGGAAGGGGAAGAGAAGGTGGAGGAGTTTCTAGAGTAGAAAACCCAGGAGAGCTTAGCTCCAGAGCTGGGGTTGTTTTTTGTTTTGTTTTTTGTTTTTATTAGCTGCACAGTGGTACATTAGTTGTCATTGTCTTGGTTTTAGCATCTTTTCGTGTGTCTTGAATCCTGCATCATAAACAGAGAAGTTCGTTTATATGGTAGCAAAAAAATAACCCGAATTTCTAAGATACTGTATTTATAAGACATTCTGATATTAAGACACAGTGGGCCTCTGGGTAATTTTGCCAACTAAGTGGATTAAGCAGGTTTTTTTGTTGGCTCCTAAAGCGTGAGCTGTGGTGCTCTTCCCCGCAGGTACTGTCAACGGAAAATACTGCTGTCCTCAGCTTTTTATCAACCACAGGTGTTTCTCAGGCCCTTACCTGAACAAAGGGAGAATCGCAGAGCTACCTCAGTCGGTGGGACCAGGCAAATGTGTGCTGGTTCTGAAAGAGGTAAGGCATGCGCACGGGGGTCAGCGTCGGGGTATTTCCACAGGGTGTCCAAGATGTAGACAGAATTTCTGAAGGACATAACGGGATCGGGCTGGAGCTGGTCAGGCAAAGATGGGAAATAGCATTCTTGCCCGTGAAAAATTCACAGGCTAGCAGTGGAGGGCGGGGGGGGAGAGTGGGGGAGAGGGTGGGGGGACTACACCCTCCTCCCCCGAGTCCGGGGAAACCTTGCAGTGGGTTTGAGGGCTGTGTGTGGGTCAGGGCCCAGGACTGCAGACTGGAGGTTTCTCTCAAGAGGCAAGTAAGCCTGGATGGGTGAGAGAAGTTGCTCTTAAGGATAGACGCCCGCCCGTTGGCGGCGTCAGGAGCCGCAAGGCCTTTCCCCTCCGTCGGCCGTAGCCGGCATGCGTCTGCATGGAGGAGGCTCCAGCTCAGGCTCCAGGCACTTGTGTGAAGTTTGTGTCGTGGCCGCGCATCAGTTTGATGGTATTCTTTCCCATTTCTCTTCCTGCCTTTGGGGGTTGACCTGCAGAGAGAGGTGAATCCTTGTTACATTGATGGAGGTTTTTATAGCCTCGCCACAGACCCCGTGTGGACATGGCTTGGAATCCTGGAACCATTCTTGGAACTCGATCTCTGCTTTTTTCACACATGTCAGTGTTTTCTCTTATGAAAGAGGACCCCACATAGATCTTCCTCATCGCTACTGTACCATGATGAATGTGTTTTAATCCCCGGGACACAACAATCCGTTCATCCACTGAACACATGTCTGTGAGGCCACTGCTCGGAGGCAGGCGCTGTGCCAAGTCCTGGGTCCGAACACAAGCCCTGTCTGCCCTCGGCCTATTGGGGCTTTGCAGCCTTGTTGGGGAGATGGCTTAATTCTAGGCTGAAGGTATGGTGTACTGGGGGGGACACTCAGGGCGCAGAGCAGAGCGCTCTGGGAGCACAGGGGAGGGAGTGACAAACAGATGGTAAGGGATCCTTGCTCTGGCTTGCAAAGGGAGGAGCACCTCACGTGGGAGCACAGCCACAGCTCACAGGTGGGTGTCCGGGGAAGGAGTATGGGTCCTTAGGCTGGGGGTGACTCATAGGTATAGAAGAGTGCATCCTGTTTTGAAAAGAACAGACGAGAGATCTGGGCGGCCTGATGGGTGAGGCAGGCCTGGGTAGCGGGGTAGCTTTAGTGAGGCCTTCTCTGGCCTTGTGAGGAGTGCAGATTCCCACTGCGGAGGACGGGAGCCCTCTGAGCGACCTGTGCGAGCACCATCCCCTCGGGAACCTCCACATGGTTTCAGACGTCATTCTACTTGAATGAGATCGTTTTAGCAGAGGCCGAGCGTGTTTGCTTTCCTAGGCCGTCTGCGCAGTTAGCAGTTAAAGACTTACATGTTCAGAAAACAAAAATCCCTTTAAGAGAGAAAGTTGAAGTTGTAGTTGAGAAGAAACTCTGTAAAGACACTCTGGCGGGGCCGTTGTTGTGGTTATTTACTTGGGAGCATTTAGCCTATAAATGTTCCTGTCCTTCATGAGGTTCCGGTCGTGTGGGACAGACAAGCAGGCAGGTCTAGTATTGCAGAGTGGCAAGCGTCTCAGGTCCTGCAACGGGGCCGGTGCGGGTGTGTCGAGGTCCTGTGGAGTCCCCTGCAGTCTGTGCGGAAGGAGGTGTGGGCAGCCTGCATGCGGAAGGCCTGGGGTATCGGGGTGCCCTGGGATTAAGGCAGGAAGATCGGGAAAGAAGGCTTACGGCACCTCAAGTGTAAGGACCTCGGAGGAGGATGGACACAGAAAGGGCACAGATCTGGGCGGGCCTTTCTTGGGCCCCTGCCAGGTGTTCTGAGCAGCCGGGACCTGCTTTCATTTAAAGCAGCTCACCTCCCACGGCTGGGCCCTGCCTCCCGAAAGTGATCAGTGCAGGTCTGGCCCAGCCGAAGTGGCAGGTTGACCTGTCTAACAGATGAGACATTCGTCACTACAGAAAGATGGTGCTCAAGGCAGGTCCAGGGGTCGGGGTGCCTCTGAAAGGCCAAGGTGATGAGGGTCAGTGGAGGGACCGCTGGTCGGCTCTGGATGAGGCGGCACTGACCTCGGATTCCCAAAGATGTTGGACTGGATTGAGGAAGAGATCAAACCAGGACTCCGGGTCAGGATTCCCATGACGACGTGAAATCGCACCCCTGGACCGAGCACTACCCTCCTCAGTCCGGCCCGAGAGTGGGTTGTGGGTACGTTGATGCCTGCCTATGTGTGAGCCTGTTTTTGTCAGGAGTGATCAGAAAGGAACAGGAAGGCCTGGCAGAAATGCGGTGAACCGGTGGGTGCCTTTGAAGTTGCCTGCAGGGCTGTTCGTCACGGCAAGCTCCAGGGATCAGCCTGCGGTCCCCGGTCACCTGCCGGCTCCGCTCGCAGACACGCTGGTCCCAGGTTCAGCCTGTCTTCGGGAGCTGGCTCTTTGTCGTACGTGAGTTTTTAGAGTCAACAGTGGTTATCCCCGATCAATTCCCCGATAGGTGCCGGCAGCCAAATGCAAAAGCCAGGCCAGAGCAGTTTTCTGATGACAAAACTAGTTTTTTGCTGATGTTCAGAAAATGCATGAGGCAGAAGAAGAAGGGAAAAAAAAGCAAGCACTTCAGTTCTGTGAGTGCAAGAAAAATGGGAGTTCCAGCAAGCCAATATTTATGCTAATGTGCTTCCTTCAGCACCAGAACCTCTGTGGTTTCACATTGCATTTTACTTAAAGAGAACGAGGTAATTGTAGCAAAGACAGAGCATGTTTGCTTTTCAGGCCGTCAGTGGTGTTAGCAGTTGAAGGTTTTCAGGTCTTTGGGAAATGCAGAGTGATGGCTGTTTTCCCTCTGGTCTGCTCAGGGGAGGCTGACCTGTGTGCATGGGGGCAGAGCCAGTGAGGGGCCCATCCAACTCTGTCATCCCCACGAGGGACCCAGGACTAGCAGGTCCTGAGGGGATGGGGACAGGTTGAGCCTGTGGACGGCCCGTCAGGCTGGGGCATTTTATGGGACCCCGGGCATCCTTTCCTATCCCAGATAGTCCTGCACCCCACGCCTGCCGCAATGCACTAGGTTCTCCTGAAGACCTGTGGACCGCAGATCTGTGTGGCCCTCGGTCCGCTGACGAGGTCTGCGTGTCCCGGCGCTTCTGCTGCTGAGAATGTTGGTGTTGTGTCGAAGAGGTGTTGGGGGAGGTTCTGCTAATACCTCAGATGTGATCTCCCGAATGGCCAGGCCTGTGATCCTGCCTTCCTGCACCACATAGTGAGGGAGGGTGCTGTGTGCTTGTGTCCGGGTCTGAGGCAGAGACCAGCACGAGCACAAGAGGAGAGGAGTGAGCGTGGAACATCTCACAACCTCACTCATGTCCATGAGCCCAGCGATGAAAAGTCCTGCCAGCAGAAGGGACTCTGCAAACACCGGCTCAGGAGGAATTAGAGTCTCCGTTTTCATGGCGATGCTGACATCCATGGATACGCAGGCCACGTACCGGGGTGACGTCCCAGCATGGCTGACGGGTTTGGGGAGCACCTGTGGTTTTTCTGAAATGTTACCTGGCTTGAGTTATTTACCCATATGTAACCTGTGGTCTTAGCAAGCAATAGAAATGTCATGTCCAGGGGGGAATCTCTAGTAGGAGTCTTTTTTCACGTTTTGCACATCACTTTGGGATGTGTGACACAGCAGAAGCTCTGGATCCATGTTGGCTCGACAGCAGAAATCACCCATCCAAGCTTTACATGCTGCTTTTGAGCATTTACAGATGCGCTTTCCTGTGAATAGGTAGATGCATAGCCCTTGCCTATCTCTTCCCTTTCTTCTTCCTGAGGCTTTAATAGAAGGCTTAGGAGAAAGCAGCCCGAATGCTGGACACTTGGGAAACTGTCTGAAGCGATACGCTTCCGTGGCTTTTTCTTTTCCTCCAACCTGTGCCCTGGACCTGGACTTGGATCTGATGTGGAGATGAGGCTGAATACAGCGGAGTAGACTGATAACATCAAACACGGAAGGCTAGATGGAGCTTCTGCTCTGCCAAGGCAGGGACGTTGTTCGTGACGAAAGTGAGATACAGAAGCCCGCGTGTGTGCACACGCCCACCCCACCCACTTACCTGTCCATCCAGCCATCTTCTACCCTGAATCTATCCATCGTCATCTCTGTCGTCCGTCTGTCCATGCATTCATCCATCCACCTACTCATCCGTCATCTATCATCTGTTTGTCATTTCTATCCTATTATCTGTCCGTCCATCCATCCATCCATCTATCCATCTGACTGTCTATCTATCTAACTGTCTGTCTGTCTCACATACCTGAAACAGTCACTTTGCTACTCTTCATGGCAGCCTGGTCCGGGGACGCAGAGGCTGAGGCATGACCAGGGAGGCCTGCCTTTGTTCGCAGAGACCGGGTGGTGAGAAGTCTAACTTTGCAGAGGGTGGCTGTGCCCATGAGCGGGAGCTGTGAGTGCCCGGTGCCGATGCCCGAGCCTGGGGCTGCTGGACAGGGTTGCCACCAGGCGGCAAAGGGATCCTGGAGGAGACTGGAGCGCTCACCTTCGCGGAATGAGATCTCTCTGTCCTTTGGTCTGCTTCTGTGGTCTGCATAGCTCTGTGGCCCCAGCAAGTGCTGAGGAAGTGGTGAGGGCCCTGCAGGGTGCCACTGTGATCCGGGCGTGGTTCTTTTCAGCTGTCCGCAACCGTTCGAGGGTGTTTCGGATACGAAGGTGCTGGGTTATTCCACATGCAGCAGATACTCACTGAGCATGCGCCACACCAGGGACTCTTCCAGCGCTGGAACCCGGCAGGGAATGAAACACAGTCCTTCCTCCGTGCATTCGTTCAGGCCCCGGGAACTCACCAGTCATACCCTCGTGCCAGGTGGGCACTGTTCTTGGAGCTGGGGGTCACGGTGAGCAAGAGAGGCGGCCCCTTCCTTGGTGAGTTGACGGCCTGCCTGCAGATAGGGGAGGGGGCCTTGTCTCTCTCCC